GGTACTGTGTGTTGCTGTGCACACGCTGGAGTGAGGGTGAGTGTGCATACTCCCTCAGGCTGCAGGGGCCCTGATGGCGCCCTCAGGCGGCGGGGTGAACCCGCTACACTTGAGCGCGTGCACAGGAACACGCGGTGCAGGTAAGTTGGGGATTATCCAGAAAGTACGCCCGTCAATCGACGTTACGAACCTGCGAAGTTGAGCCTATGCAAGCTCTCATAGCGCCTAATAAGTAGGCAACATCATGACTGCAGTGCATGCGTGTACTGCGGGATGGTCTACCCGGATTCTCGCAGGCGCCGAACTCCCACATTTTGCCGAATGAACCTGTAAAGAAAAGGACCTACTTTCTGGACGAACCCTTACGCGGTGGTATAAGTCGCTCTCCTTGCATGCGTGGTATTTTGGAATTTAAATGGATAGGATCCTTCGAGGGACATTGCAAAACCTTTGGTCATCCCTAGAAGACTGCCAAACTTTGGACTTCGGAAGTGTTTTGGCAAGCACAGCGACTACGGCTTTTAGAGTGGATATGTCTGCTTACTGTGGGAGATTTTTTGTTCGGAAATAGTACCTGATGCAATAATATTGATATAAGAGGACAGTATTTACATGTCTTTTAACTTTGGAACTTGATTGTGTAAGGTAATTGTATAGAACAGATAAACTGGGCAGGTAAATACATCTTGTTGTATACTGTTTTAAGTAGTTTCCTATTCGTGGATGCTGTGCGTTCATATTTTAAAACTTTGAAAAGGCATCTAGGCTTGGTCAAAACTTAAGTTATCTTCGCCTCACTAGAAAAAAAGGGAAATGGAGAAGAGGGGGGGAGGGTGGCGAATCTTTTTCCGGCGAATCTTTTTCAGCCACGTATGCATTTTGCTTACGGATGCGTGTGTGTGTGTGTCACACTTGTAAAAAGCTTTCATTTGTATTGTCCTTAGAGGAGCTCTTAAGAGACCAAAACCATGTGCTAATATTCATGTTGTACTATTTTTGAAATGTGAATACCTGCTTCACAAGCTAAGTGCCAAAATAGCATGTTATATATTGGACCACGTGCAATATTTGACAATCTGTCCGTGAAGGATAGTTGCTTGAAGTAAGCCCATAAAGAAAGAAAATTGCGATTTTTCGCAAATGAAATTATTTGCCAGGCAATCTGTAACTCAAAAGCATCTTTCGCTTAAGTGCTCTCCTGTTGAAAATCACGTTTATTGACATTTTTCTTCTAGATATAAATATAAACCGAGTGTGTTAATGTCTATCTACTGCTACTGTCCTTAGTTTTCTACAAACATTTCCCACCGAGTACATTTTAACTGGAATGGTGTGTAAATCCGCTATAATTGTTTAGTGTACATGGGTACTAGAATTGTGAGAATATCAGCGCAATGGACAATAAATGAATAAGAATTAAACAGGCCGAGAAGACTAAGGAGGCTTATTTCATTTCGTTTCCTCGGGCAGCTATCCGTGCCTGAGCCCCTGCGGGCAAGTGGATAGGGGGCCGGCTACTCAGAGCTGCCCTGCGGGGTGGCCTAGCTCGTGGTTGACAGGGGCTCTTCCATCAATCATGAAGGTAGAACCTGACAATGAGGCTCACGCAAAATTAAAAGCACCGAAGATATATTTTAACATTTATTTGGTGAATATTACGTTTAACATCTAAGATGGTATACCAAAAAAAAAAAAAAACAGAAAAGAAACAACAAAGTTTTAGGTCTTAACAAACATTAATAAAAATTTAACACAAAAATAGTTTGATAAGAGACAACACAGAGACAGAATATCATTGCAAAGCAATGTACTTGAGGCAATAAAGATCTACATAGATAAAATGGATAGGCTTTCAATCAAATAACAAAAAAAAATTAATATCAATAGGAAATAAATTTTGCTGCATAAAATTCCCAATGTTGCTGCTTAAAGGTGTAAAGTCACTTGTCCTGATTAAATTTTGCTGTCATCCCACCAGAAAAAAACAAATGCAAAAAATAAAAACAATTGAATTTTACTAAAAGCAGGATAGAATTCTACAAAGATTTTATCGTTCTGTCTTGGCAGAATATGCACAAAGAGAATAGACAAAGAGAGAGAGAGAGAGAGAGTGGGTGAACTGCTCCCATTTCAAACATATGAGTTTCTGTATACCAAACATACTTTCATGCTGTGATGAGCTCCAGCTTTTTGAGCAATACCTTGAAACCTAATGAAGTCTCACTCTAAGCTACACACACAAACAAATGAAAATTGAAGGGAAAGTTGATTTAGAAACAGAATAAAAGAAAACATTTATATAAGAATAGAGAAAAACTGACCTACAACCAAACCACATCAAGACTATAGAGGGCTGGATTCACAAAGTTCTTTCAACAACTCCAAGTAATAAGTTGAAATATTAAATAAGTGACTAGATACCTCCATTAAACAAGCAATATGCAAAAGAAACAGTGTGATGTACCAAAGAATCCATCACCCACCTCATTACACATATTAAACATAAAATGCACTTTATTTGCTCTGAAAAGATAGTAGAGGAGCCAGTATTAACAGTGTTACGCAACAAATTTATTTCATTCACTGTATATTTATGAGTTTGAAAGTCTTAGCAAATGTCTATTCCCAGTCAAAACTACAGAAGAACTTCAGGTTCTAAACAAGAGGCCCTCAGCAATTCATTTTAAACCAAAAATCACTCTTTGTAAAATAAGCTTTGAAAACTATTTGTTATATTGATCACCATGACATGACCACTCATACCGAAAATATATCATAGCCTGCAGCAAAACAACAAGATGTTTATACTGATGATTTTAAGATAAAATCTTTCAATTATAAAGTGAAATAGTTACACAAATATCTGGAAAGCTAATTTGAGCTTACAAATAAATAATTATAGTAATAAAAGAAAACTAACTTAAAATCTGGCGTACATTTACTTTACCACAGAAACTCACAATATATCACATAATACTTCATAAGAGACCATGAGGGTTTTGAAGAGATGGGCTCCAGTCACTCTCTAACTTTCCAAACAACAATCCTGACAAAGTTTTACAGTCATCACCCAAATAGAGAAACCAACGGTTTAAATGCACTGTCAATAAACAAGAGAATTTTAGGTACTACCAATGGAAAAGAAAGAACATTCAAATTTTCTCACACCCCTTTCTTGTATTCATATTATGCTATCCTGCAAACATGTCCAACAAATCCAACCAAACGATTTTACCATTGCACTTTGAAAAGTTTTACAGTAAAGAAGTCAGAACTGAATTTTCAGCAAAACAGTTGTGCTTTGAAACTATCTGAAGGCAAAATGAAGGGGTCAGCACTCTACAAATAATGCAGGCAGTTCCTGTTAGAAGAGATACCTCTATCAACACAATAATTTAAGTAACAATTTTGAAATGGTTTCTCATCGTAAAGTCTAAAAATAACCATGGCAAAATATTGTCAATGAGTCTTCCAGCATCACAATATACAGGGCTTGATTGTTAAATTTTACCATACATAATGTACACTGAGATCTTTTCCACTGTATTTTTCACACATTCCCGAGATCAAATATAAAGATTTGTCATGCTCATGACAAAAAGCACAAAAATCACACCACAAATAATGTACTGAGATTCTGCTGAAGTAGGTATTTACATTCATCCTCATTATGGGAAAACAAAAAGTTTTGTTTCTGCTGTAAGCACAATTGCACATGGTAAAGCCAAATATTATCTTCATCTCACTGTGAAAAAAGATTGCTTCCTAAACAAAGAGACAAAATAAAACTTACTACAGAAAAATTGTTTCCCATCACTTACTCACAGTCAGGAAAAAAACAAATTAATTATTTGTTATTCCTAGGATGTAGTTCAAGCTGCATCAGTTCACAAACAAGACAGCAAGCTATAAAATGTTATACTTTTAAAAAATCAAATTTCTTGTAAAAAAGATCGTCTTTAATTTAACATCCCTTCAAGTATTTTTATAATTGGATGGATTTGCAGAAATTCTATTGGACGTGAATGGAGTACATTAAGAACATAATTTGTTTTAGGAATGGTTCGCCAAATTGGGATTTACAGATGAGCACAATGGATATGGAAACACAGAGATATGGATTAACACATTGCACAATGTATGGCTGCAGGGAACTTTGATAACAAGAGGAATTAGCCAGATTAGGGGTAAAGGGGTACATATGGATAATGATATGGCTCACCAAACTGATCACTTGACTGTGCCCAATACTGATATGGATTGGGATTCATTAAATAGTATGAGTTTGCAGAATGTGAAAAGTAATAGAGTTTTGGTTGCGACTGTTGTTGCACCCAATACATTGGCTGAGGCTCATTTGTTTGTTCTGCAAAATTTTGATATGTGAAATATGTTGCTCGATCTGATTGATATAGTGTGTTATGATAGGCATAATGAGTGTAATTTAGATTTTCACTCAAGATACCCTGCTGGTTTTGAACAAACTCTTGTTCACCACTCATCTGTTGTTGATAATCTCTTTGATCGACAGGTTGGAGAGTGCCACTTGAATTATAATAATGGCTCGTACTATTCTGAGCCTCAAATTTTGTATCTAATTGGGAGGTCTGTTGAATGAGCAAATCATTACATTCTACACTCTGGGAATCTATGTCATTGGGAGAAGAAGAAACCAGCTCAGTTCCACTCTGTACCTGATTTTCAAAATGTAGAGGTGTTGGAGGTCTCTGGGAATTTTCAAGTTCACTAGTAGGGGCAAGACTTTCAGTGTGTTCATCAACAGTTCCTTCAAGAGACTGAGTGGACTGAGCATTGGCTGGAACCGAGTCAACAGTTACACATAAAGGAGAGTTCATTCTGAAATGGTACTGTAAATACTCATCAACAGGCCTCCTCCAATTTAATGCTAGGTTTTCTTTTGGCAATGTGGGTTCAACCCCGTCATTATTAATACTTCTGTACATTGTATATCCAGGGACAAGAGAATACTGATTCAGTAATCGATTGGAAGAAACATGTTCATCAAATTTTAAATTGGCCAGTGTTGTGTCAACATAAAGAGGAACAGACGTTGGTATCCTATGTGGGTCAGGAAAATTACAAAATGTCTTACAAATACATTTTGGATATACGTCCTCATTGGCATGGTCCACTGCTGGGACCGCAGGGATGACTGTTCTAAGAGAATCTGAAGAGTCTGAGCTTAACTCAGGGCTTAACTTATCTTGACAAGGTAATACACATTTATTATCATTTATGTCCAAATTTTCACTTAAATAACTTGTATCACTGCTGTGAGAAGGTGAACTGTTCTTTCTTCCCAAGGGACTAGTGGGATTTCCATGTTCTGCCTCATGGCATTTTGAGAAACTAGCAGTCTTTGAAGAGCACTGAGCACTGTCTGAGAGATTCTCACAACTGGCAATATGATCCAATTTAATTTGGTTGTCCTGCCACACCTGAGCACTATGTTCTTTATTGGAGATTCTTTCAGATAGCTCAGGGTAGGCCGTAAAGGACTGGAAGCGCTCGGACTCCAGGTCTTCGCAACATCAAGACATCTTCATTACCTGTAGGGACAGATCAAAAAAGATTAATTTTACTGGCATACAATTGAGCGAGTCATAAGAACTGCAAAACCGTACACATTTATTTCAACAGACGTTCATTAAAGTACTAAGACATTAAAAAGGTGCTGAAAAGCCTTCAGACTCCATAAAAACAAACTTTTTTGTGTGAATTAAATGGCGTAATGTTAAAAATAAAGCTGAAAGCAATGATGACACATCGACCAAAAATGTATAGGCTGACATGATAGAGCAAACTGAAATATTAATACTACTAGTTTTTCTCAGTTAAGCTATCACAGTAAGTGGCTGGAAGAGGAAATCCCAGTTGTAGCTGTAAATTAATAGTGACATTCATCACTATGCTCAGATACGCTGAAAGTGTAGATCCATAAATATTGATTTGATGAACTTTTAAAATTTCTATACATTTTGTAGTATTAAAAATAATTAATTTTGATTGGATAATTTGCAACATATTACCATAAAGTAAGTACACAAGGTTAAACCATTTGATCTAATAGTATATGATTTGATAGGTTAGCCAGCACATTGATTTGAATGGAACTTACAAGAAGAAAGCCTCCACCTCTAAGATTAATGTAATGATCTACACAAACATGATACCAATTGTCAAACATTAATTAAACACACAGAAAACACATTACTACCAAAAATACATAGCACAGTACACTAATACATATGCAATGAATCTTGGACACACACCTATCCTTGTGGTTTTTTAATTTCTGCAAAGAAAAACCACAAGAATACAATGAGAACTACCCGCAGCCTTCACTAGGAAATTTTACTGCAAACTTCAGAAAAGGTTTAAGTCATCTTCTCTTGTACTAATCAAAGATTGACCAAATTATGTATTTGCTCCAGGAGCCCTTATTTTGATTGTTTCTAACCTGTGTGTGAGCTGTAGACATGCCAAGCAAAGTCAAAATAAGCAAAGTCAAACGCTACTATCAACATAGATGGGTAGACAGTATCTTTTAGCATAGACAGACAGACTTTGGCTGGGTGGCAGAAGTAGATGAGAAGGAATGAGCCCCTCAGAAGTCTAGCTATAGACTGCAAGAAGCATGCCATGCTTAAAAATGTGCACACTGACTGAATGATTCATTGATTCAGGTTAAGAACCTCAAGGTGACATCCCAGGGTGGTATCCTATTAACCTCCAATACATGTGAATACCTATACATCCAAATAGGTTTTTTTTTTCTTTTCCATGATTTCAATATGGAAAGCCGTGAGACACAAAGAAAAACTAGACTAACATTATGAACCGAGGAAATAGAAAGCGAGTCACACCCACGGTAACCCGCCGGGTGCACTTACCACAGGTGGCTCTGAGAAAGCTTTGAGCTCCCTTCCAACAAAAGGGTTCCGAACAGGGCTAGGGCTCCCTGAGAGTAGGCTGCTGTCCACATAAACAGCAGTCATAAGCATGCTCTATAGCTACAAATTACAACTTAAAAAGTTTCTCCACTTTAGTTACGTTTTTTTTTTTCCTGTTTAGATGCAGTTTAGCATATTAATAAATAGTAACAATAAGCAGAGGATAAAGAAAAAACTTCCTTGACAAAAATCTGATGGTCTATCCAAAATCCAAATACTGTATGCCACTTTTGCAGCCATTAACTGAACTCTTTCACCAACCTACAAGAACTACAAGCTCTAAATTTTTATTACATGGCTAGAAATAGGAAGTATTGATCAAAACCAAAATGTAATATTGCTGAAGGATTACTTTATAACAATGCAAAAATCTATCTCTACCTAAAAATATTAATTGAAAGGTAAACTTTCAAGCAATTGTTTTCATTAAGCCTGGCACTACTTTTATCATTTTGAATCTGAAGAGAGCAGAAACCTTTAACTTTGTTAGGGACTGAGGTGTGCAGATACAATAGTGCATATTTACCTGTGCACCCATACTAAAGAACTCAAGCTGTGTGTTATTATAGCTTGCAGAAAAGCATGCTGGGTTTATCAACCATAGTTTCACTCTCCGAGAACAATTAATTTGGTCACAAATTTATATCACATTACTTTAAACACAATGCAATCAACGAAGACGTTTACAATTGGGGAAAAGACAAAAAACAACACAGTTTTATGTGATAGGAGTTAGGCCTAAATGAAGGGGCAGACAGCTACTTAGCAACCATGCTTTCTGCCTCACCAAACCGACTCATACTGTTACAGGGACTATAAGTTACCTTGGTTTATCATTAAAAACAACACAAGTAAGGGCACGCCGCATCCAGACACCACTGTTTGAAAAAAAATTACACTTACGTTGGCTTCCGCACCCTAGGTGGTCGTGTATAACTTAGGGCCTCCCCTGAGGGTTGACTGTGAGGTCGAGGGTAGTAAGAAGTTTGGAAGGGACGAATAGCTCGGTGGTAGGTATTGGTGGGAATTGAAAATGGAAGGCGCCCTTGCATGTACCTCATATCACCTGGTGAACAAAGTGTATACAGGGTTAAAATGGGTCGGTTTAGTGACCGTAGAAGCACTAGAATGTGGCACTTGTTCATTCCGCAATGCAACTTTAAAAAAAATATATAAGGAGTCCAGCACTAAAATGCCTAAGAAAAAGTGTTCCACAATGTTGATTGAAGCAACTCAACAAACCTGACATGTATCTTGAAGCTGCAAGATTGTACATTGGCACTGAGTATGCCGGGGATCCTTGGTCCTTCCGTCCCACCGGGCTTTGTCCACGCGGAAAGCCCTTTGGACCCATGTTCCTTGGTGGAGGGCTTGACTGCAAACCACCAACAATCTAATCGAACAAATATATAATATGCTACCCTTCAAGATTTCTATTTCAACATGAAATTTAAATCCTCCAAGATGTATTGAGTTACTTACCAAGTTGGGTCGCATCATTCTCTGAATCATTGGTGACTGGTGAGGAGCACTCTGGAAGTTTGCTGGAGAAGTAGGAGCTCCTGCTCCATTGGTAGCTGGTGAGTACATTCCATAAACATATGGATGGACACCATATGAGCCCTGCCACAAAATTTAACATATTGTAGGAGAGGTCAAGAGAACAGATATAACATTGAAGGAGCATGCTGATATCCACCTGTGGAGTCAAGGGAGGTGTCCCTGGTGCTTGCATATAGTTTTGAGGAGGAGCGTACGGATTGACAGGCAGAAGTTGCTGGCCTTGAGACGGACTGCCAGTGTCACCAGCCCCTTGAACTCCTTGGTAGTATGTAATTGTACTCGGAGGAGCGGCACCAGAGGCCGCAATAGTAGCATTTGGACTTGAGTATACGGCAGGTTGATAGGATTGTGTGGGAACACTGTCATAATTTGAAGAGTTTAATGAAGCAAATATTTCAACGAAAATGATTAGGTATAATTGGGTTCAAAAATACTTACGTGCTAGAATGCATGGATGACACAGTATACACAACTTGTTGTTGAGGGGAACCCACAGCAACGCAGTCGTTGGGATAACCTGGCCGAAACAGAGAGATTAAAGATTTGTAAAATAATGCAAATGACATTAAGTTTTTGAATGGGATTATGACTTACCATTGATCACAGATCTATCTTGGACTTGTGGTGCTATTTGCATGTTGGGCATTGATGAATACGCAGGAGGTTGGTAAATTGCTGCACCCTTTGCATAACTAGCAGCAACATTACGGTTGTAATTGTTTCTATTACTGCCACCTTGTGAACTAGAAGCTGATGAGCCAGTTGAATTTGAGTTCTTACTATTACTATTTTCCCTATTATTTGAGTTGGCAGGACTTGTTCCTCGATTATAACTAGTACTATTGTTACTGGCTGTCCCAGATGATCCAGAACCACCTGAGCCTGTGCTTTGAGGTGGGCTCTGCACATTGTTTTGGGGGTAATAGTACATGACCGTCGGAGGATAGGCCTAGAAACAAAACCAGGTGAGTCCAGAATACTAAAAAACATTCAAATTTGACTGAATAAAGCAACTAGATTCTGACCTGGTTGTGACTAGAAAGCTGAGGTCCCCAGTAATATGAGCCATTTCCTGCGACAATGACGTGAGGAGTTGGGGGACCATGTTGAGGACTTTGGCCATCAGAGCGGTTTGAAGATCCATCCCCTCCCGCTCTCTGGTCGATGGCTGTCCCATTACCATTCAGATTCAACCCCATCATGTAGTTCGCCATATCGTTTACGACCTGGCCAGCCGCGTCCTATGGGTGAGAAGATAAAGAGAGATGTAAGTAAAGGTAGAATCAAGAGTTTAAACTCGACTACTTCTCCCGTCCTGCGCCGTACCGGGCTGCGCTGGTCGTAGCCTGGGTGTGGTGGTGGGGGACCGCCCGGGCCAGGGGGGACTGCGGGGCCGTAGGGGCACGGGTAGCCCGGCACACAGCACGGGCCCCCGGGGCCTCCTGGGCCCCCAGGACCGCCAGGACCAGAGGGACCGCCCTGCGGCCCGGAGGGCGGGGGCTGCCCTTGCTGAGGAGGAGGCTGGGTCACGTATGAGCCCGTGGCTGGGTCCACGTTGACGGGGTATCCACCCATGTGGTAAGGTACGGCGCCACCGGTGGCTCCTGGGTACCCGTTAATGTAGGTCTGGCCGTCTGGCGCAGCCGCGTAGCCGTAGGCGCCATTGTGGTAGTGGGAGACGGCGCCGGGCTGCACAGGGTAGGGCACCTGGCCGGGCACCTGCCCCGGCGCGGGAGGCATGCCGGGCGGTATGACCGACATGGGCATCATGGGGCTGCTCGTGACGGCGTAGCCCGGCGGACAACCCGGGGGGCAGCCCGGGGGGCAGCCCGGGGGGCACCCTGGAGGGCAGCCCGGCGGCGCCCCCACTACGATGGGCTGGCCGGCTTGCGCGGGCAGCGACCGCTGCGGGCTCGCCACCAGCATGGGAGAGGTGGCCGAGTTGGTCACGGAGCGGCCGGTCCCACCCCCGCCGTCCGACGGCACGGTCAGACTCGAGGGCGCAGAGGACGCGGGCTGGTTGTCGTGCTTCCGGTAGTCTTGGTGGTGCCCAGAGCGTTTATCCTGGGAGGATGACGAGTCTTTGTGCTGAAGCTTGGGCTGTTCACTTGGCTCTGACTTCTCTATTGACTTGGCATTTGTAGATGATTTGGCTTGAGTGGGCTGAGCTGGCTGACTTTTATTTGTTTCAGTCTGGATTGTCGCTTTAGCAGTGGGTGCTGTTGGTGAGCTGGGTGACGGCGACCCCTTGGGTGAGGGTGTTTGACTGGACCAATTGGATTTTTCTGCGGGTTCATCTACAAATAAATTTGTTAATTTTACTAACAATGTTATGTGTAAAGGAAGGACATTTCGCGCTTCAATGCTAACCCTTACCATTATTTTGCTCCGCCTGTCTACCAGAGCCAGCAGGAGATGGCTTTGCAGGACTTTCAGAACGAGGAATATGTAGAGTCAAGGGATTTTCAGGATCATAACGATAGACTGATCCATCCGCATTACAAATTGGCTGTCCCGTCTAAACCATGAAATGTGCCACGCATACAGTTAGTACTTACAGAAGATAAAAGAATAACATGAATTTTATTAAATAAATGGCACCTACAGCTGGGTTGATGAGAACACTGCCTGATGGGATGTTTCCCAATGCAGTCATGGGCCAAATAACTGGAGGCTCAGGAGAAAGAGTATCTTGACTACCTTGACTAGACATCTGTTGATGAAAATATAAACAATACAATATTACACACACATTAGTAGGTTCGAAGTAAAACGACATCAATTTTAGCTTACAGGCAGCAGGGAAAGCGGAGTTGCTGTTGGAGACGGAGTAGCTGAAAGTGTAGCATCCGACTGCTGAGATTGGGATTTATAACCTGAACTTGATGGACTCAGTCTTGATGAAACACTGCTGCCAGAGTCTACAGAAAATAGAATTATGAATTATTAAACCACTGCCACATACTATATAGTTAACAACTTATACAGAGGTTTGAAAATACCTTGTTTAGCAAGCATACGAGATCCTGTGCTGAGTGAGGATGATGTGCTATCTCCCCTCTGCAACGCTGAATAGCTTTGACCCTGTCCGGAGCTCATTCTTCCATTATTTCCCATACTTGCAGCATTACCAGTGTAACCACCAAAACTGTAAGACTTCGAGACAGCTGACCGCATCGAATTCGATTTTAAGCTCTCACGGCTCTCATAGGATTCTGTTTTCATTAACCGAGAGGACCTACAAATCAAATGCACCAAATGTAATGGAAAATAATTGATGATTAAACAAGAAAAAGAAAAAATAAATAATTTAAGATCTTACCTATCATTTGGCCTTAAATATCTACCAGGTGGTTCAGGTTCCTCCTCAGCCCACGTAGCACATTCACTCCAACGCACATCTTCCATACTGTCCTGGTTTGAATCACTCTGGTGACAGCTATCAGTGCTATCCTGTAAATTGGGTTAGAGGGAAGAAATATACAAATTACGTCAAGTAATGTTGTAGGTAGATAATTAGGGCACACCAAGAGTGTACAATAAAGGAGATTTTTCATTTGTATCATTTAAAAATCAATAACAATATGCAGCAAGTTGTGACAAAATAGCCTTTCCATACATAACAATGGAATGAAGATAAATAAAAATATAATGGAGGTTAGCAAATTATAAATGAATGGCAGCAGCATTTGTGAGTTGTGGTAATGGCTAAAGTGTGAAATAAAAAAAGACATGAAACTACACAATCCCAGTGAAATGTTAATATTGGTGACAGAATTTCTACCTCAAGTTCAATGAGCAAAACTACCTACAAAGTTGAAAAAGCTTGGTCAAAAACTAAAACAGAACAAAAAATGATAAACAAAAATTGGTGGTAGGTGATAGTACATGCCAAAAATACAATTAATAATGAAAGGTAATCTACATTAACCGCTTTGCATCAGTATTAAAATTATAGAAACAAGAGTAAAACTACTTGCACATGCCAGCAGAAAGGAAAATGAAAACTTTCAGACATAAAAAAAATTTATTGGTTCAAGGGTTTTTTTAAGAAAATAATAGAAGCATAACTCAACACAGGCAGACAATACATTTGCACAAACAGAAAAGCCATGAAAAAAATAAACAGATAAAAATGATATGGGCAGCGAAAGTGAAAACATCCACTCATTTCAATCACTCCTCCCATTTTCTCTTAATACAAGTACTCACATCCCGGCTAAAGATGCGTCTCCTTGCCCTTTCATATTCCTCCTCCCTTTCTTCAAAACTCTTACTGCGACGAGATTCCAAACTCAGCTGTTTATCATCTGACTGCAAAAGCCAAACAGATGTTTCTCCATCTTTTGTGCTTTTCTCAAGGGGGTCAAATAGCTGAACTAGTGAAATATTGTAGCACAATAGAAGCTTTTCTATGTTAGCTCAAAGGAGGGGAAACAGGGACACTACATGTGAAACAATTTAACCCCCTCTCCAATGTTTTCTTTTTCCTCCATGCATGCCAATTTTGATGCAAAACCCTACAACACCAAAACCAGTAGGAAAACCACAGAAAAGTTTCAAGTTTTGAATTGAAATAGGCTACAAATGAATGTTAATTAATGTTGAATGATGATTAACTTCAAGATAAGTGATAGTACAGGATACAATGTATAATCCTGTTGAACTTGCTTTGCAAAACATTATACTAACATTTTGATTTCAAGTGAGTGAGTACTACAAGAAAGGAACGGAGCGGAAAAAAACAACATCAGAAAACCTGATTTTCCTAGTAAAGGAAAATTAGAAGGATAACTGGTGAAGATAGGTATAGATTCCACAAATCAGCAAAGCAATTGGGATACTAATAAAAGTTTTGGTTTCCAGAAATACAAATGATTGGCTAAAGCAGCACTCCCAAGCGCTGAGAAATATACAGAACTGCACAAAGCTAACTACAATTTCTGACAGTCCAAACCACGCCCAAATTTTTCTACTAACTTGCCATATATTGCATCAAAATGTTTGGAAGGCAGATATAACATGACTAGACTTCAATTAAGCACTTTTATTTTCAAAATTTTGAAAAGATAGTTATGTGGGTTTTATGGAGAGGATTTACTATCTGCCATGATATTTCATACATGAAGGCAATGGCAATGGCCTACCTTATATTGGCTGTCCTCAAAGGAAGCGAAGTCACGTTTAAGAATAGACTTGCGAGGTTCTTCAGTAGAATATGCCCGATTGTGACCTTTGAAGACCTTCTGAATATCAGCAAAACTTTTTTCTGGTTTCCTGCTATTCCTATTCCGGTTTACAACAACACATGTTCCAGATGAGTCCAGATTATGATCCATGGTGAAATAAGTAGCTGCTCGATGAACAAGCATTCGATGGAAGGATGTCATTTGAGGAAATCGGAAATACACAGCTCTGAAAAATGAGGAGAGACATGTAGATTATAAAATGAAAACACTGTTAGTCAAATACTTCTGTTAGTACTCATAAAGAGTAGAGTACAAACCTTGGGTCATCTAAAAGTTTAACTAGCTCTTCTTCAACTCTCAATAAAAGTGCACGGTTTTTGGTTGACATCTGTTGGGCGATGAATCCATCTAGATCTGCTTTAGCTGGATCTACAAACTGGTCGAGATTATCACGACTTAACAGGCCACCCCAAGTTTCCTGTGGGGAACTTATGTAAACAACATTTTTGTTCTGCCTGTGATTAGTTCTATTTGCTGAAGTGTTGTTTTGCTCTTTATTTTTGTTGTTCCCATTTTTTGTTTTGCTGTTATTGTTGTTGTTATGACTATTATGATTGTTATTGTTGTTGCCATTGCCGTTGCTGTTATTGCTGCCTGTGTGGTGTTTGCTGCTGCCATTGTTATTACTAGTGGGTTTACTTGCCTGGCTATTATTTTTGCCATTGCCATTGTTGTTACTAACTGCTGAAGGGGTGGATTGTGTATTGGTTGATGTTGAGGCTGCAGTGGGAGCAGTCGTTGATGCAGCAGGTGCTTGCTGAACAGCTGAGGGATCAGGAGGGGGACTTGTTGCTTCTCGCATAGCATGACTCCGGGTCAACATCTTCATTTTACCATTTGACTGGGGACGAAATTAGAGGAAGAAATGAAAGACAAGGTGAAAACACATGATAAAGGATTTAGAAAGAGAAAGAACTTACTCTTGAGCGAGAGAGCTGTGGTTGAGGTCCACTTGGCTTGTCTACATCACTCTTGGAGTTTTGACCTCCAGGACTGCTGGATTTTGAACTACCTCCTGATGTGTCGGGAGACTTAGAGGAAGACTGCTGATTGTTGTTATTGTTTGAACAATTATTGTTAATTGGCGCTGAACCAGATGCCTCAAGCTTACAGTGGTGAATGCAGCCACTGGTTCCAGACTCTGCATCATCCAATGAAGATTTCTGAAAAACAAAAGATGATACAAAAATGATACCGGTGAAAGAATTAAATTTAATGAGTTATGTTCATGGTATGAATGAGGTCAAATAAATACAGGTATTCGCACTACATACTTGTTTACGTAACTGAGGCGTCTGACGGGTAGGACGATCCATGCTCACTCCTGGCACACTGGGAGACCCACTATGGACAACTATGCTTGGAACTGTCAACAGAAAGAACATAGGGTGGTGTTTGAAAGCAGTGTTCACAAATTTCAAGGCACTTTTCAGATTTCCAAAACAGCCCCAAGATAGACTTGGTAAACAACAAACAGCAGTGAAGACTGTGCGGCTTAGAATTCATAGAAAAGGCAAAGAAGAACAGTTATTGACACAGAGATATCTCATGCAGTAAAAAATAATTAAAAGCCAAGTATGAGCAAAACCATTGACTCACATGGTGTGTGTGAATAATAATGTGCATTTTTCATTGCATAGACTTCTGCTACAACAGCATTGAAAAGCATCTACTTATCAGATAAAGGAGCATCAATCTGGCACAAAAATAATTACCAATAAATACATGTTGACTATAAGATTATCTGGTAAGTCAAGCCCACTTTTAATGCAAGTATATCCTTCACCTAACAGGCAAGTGCACAAGCAAGGGTGCACTTAAGACTCCAGCACAATGCACAACCAAATGTCAAAACTCATAAATACATTACAAGATTGTGTATGTAAGATATTGAAAAGTAGTTAGTAGCACAGTGTTAAGTCTATTATTTTGCATGACTAACGAAATGCCACAACAGACTAGTAAGATATCCAACCATGTTTTGGTTAGTACTCACTTTCCAGTTTGGCCATGCTCAGGCTCAAATTTATTCCCAAAAGTCTCTCTTTTTAAATGACGCCACTTCCTTCAACTCAGTGTAGCTTCCTAAGAACATCTTCACAAATGACCATTTGGGATGGTATCTAGGAATAATGAGAAAAAGAAACAAATTTTGTTTCAAAAATACAAGAATATTTTGTTTCACTAATCTGCATAAATATTAAGTGTTTAAGTTTAAGAACTACAGCTATAAAGTCTACTGAATGTGCACGTAATTTTTACACTCCCCCTCCCCAAGGGCAGGGAACCGACCTTAAACGTCAACCAAAATGCACAGAAAAACGTTTCCCGGCCGCATGCAAGGCTCCCGCCATCGTGAGCCTCCCCAAGGCGGGATGCTGGGCGCGACCCGAGCGCGACAGCCATCCAGAGTAATCGGGCCGCACGTCACAACAAATCTATACTCGGTTCTCTTCGCGGCCAGCCTCCCCCTCCCTGGTCCAGCACTCTCCAGATCGTACCGGCTCGAGGGCGGCTGGGCTGCAGCAGCGAAGGGGTGGGCGGCAGGAGTGGGGTAGGCGTGGCCGCAGCCCTACACAAAGCACCGCGTCGTCGCGGGGGAAGGGGAGAGGAGAAGAGGGAGGAGGGGATGAAGAGAGAGACGAGGGGAGGGTGAGGGTGAGAAAGGGTCAATGACCAACACCCCCTCACTCCTGTCCTATCCTATAACACCAATAATATACCCGCCAGCGCCAACCATATCAGCCCTGCTTTGGCAAGTTACGACAAGAGCCTGGACCACAACAGTATCCTCCTAGGTCACCGCGACAGAGCGAGAGGAGAGCGGGACATTGGGGCGGATGGATTTCCGCCACGCCACCCATCAGGGCCCCTCGACGTACCGCCCGCCCGGGCCGGGCCGGGCCGGGCGGGCTCGCTGCTTGTCACAACTCCCTCCGTTTCCGTCCCGCCCGCCAGCCCGACTCCGCGCCGTGAGTGAGTAGAGGCGCAAGACACGAAGACGGACGCCCGTTTTCACTCGAGGAAAACGTACAGCCAAAAACGTACTTGATGACGAAAGACTCCTGTTACTGACAATTTGGAATTAGGCGACGCACTCCCTTGGCCTTAATACTAACAAATATCTTTATTATAGGAATTTATAGAAATGCCGCATACACCAAATGTTCATCTCGCCAATTTTAGTAATAAAAACGGGGTACTGAGGTTGTTTAGCTTGCAGCTGCGCTTTGCAAACTGCGGCGGCGCAGCGTCAACCGCCACCGCCAGAAAATCAATTGCCAAAGACGAACAGCTCTCGGCAGCGCCCCGCGGCGGCGCGTGGCCGGAGAGCATGGGGCACTAGTGGGGCAGGGTGGTGCGGCCGGGCCGGGCGGCGTTGGCCTAGGGCGAGCCGCGTCCGGGCCGGGGAAAATAGGACGGAGGGGAGTGGGCGCGCGCGGGAGGGGAGCGAGCGAGCGAGCGAGAGAGAGGGAGAGGGGGCCGCCCACCGACCGTACGAGAAGGAAGGAGCGAGAGCGCTGCACAGCACCGCCGTACGCACCCAGCAGCATCCCACGCAGAGCTAGCGTACTACAGGCTGGGCTGATCAATACGCGCGCCGAGCTCAACGCCGACTCGCACGCCTCGCCCGGCCCCGCCCCGCGCCACGGCATGACCCGGAAGTCCAGACGGCTGAGCCGGGCCGGGGGCCGGGCAACCCAAACAGGGACAGGGGCACAGGCAGAGGCGTAGGCAAGGTGGTCGGTGCGGAGGAAGGAGCGAGCGAGACAAAGGGAGAGAGCGAGAAAAGCAAGCGAGAGCAAGGAGCGCAAGACAGGTGGAGCGGATCAAGCGAGCAGTTGGTCTTCCGCCCCGCCCCGCAGCAGCACTCACTCGCTCGCCGCGACGGCCACGGCGCCTGCCAGGTCGAGCATAGGCCACCCGCTCAGCGCGCGAGCGGCCGAGCGGCCTACCTGGCGGGACGCCCGGCGCTAGTCCCGGCGGCGCCGGAAAGAAGCAAAGAGGCAAAAGGGCGATCGCAACGGCGCTGCAAACTCCGCGCGCCCACTTCAAATATTTTTGTCCTTCTTTAGAAACCAGTGCAGGTAGGTAGCAGCAGAAGCATGGCCTCAAAAAAGCACCCGGGATGCTACTGCAGCTCTGTTTCTTTTGCATATTTCTGAGCCCCCCCCTGCTCCGGCATCGTGTTTTGATTTATTAGAAGAACACCCTTGATTTACGCGTGTGTACACACTCACACGCCCTCGCTCGCTCTCTCCCCCTCTCTCTATCTCTCTCTCTCACACACACACACAGGGAGTGGAGTCCCCGGGGCGCAACAGAGCACTCCGGCCCCTCTCCAGCTCCTCTCAGACTGCGGCGCGGCGGCGGCGGCGGCGGCATCCCCCCGGATGACCTATATATGATCTGACATGGCCCCAGGCCGTTCAATCAATACCGTAGGAGCTGGGCGGGGTGGGGAGGAAGTGCATCCCATCCCGGCTGGGCTGAGCGTGACCTACTTTAAAACAATCTCCACCACCAACGCCCCCCCCCCCCACCCGCTCCTTCTCTCTCTTTCCCCCAAAAGTGCTCTCTCGCGTCTCGTCCGCGCTGCAGCAGGTGTGCGCCCCACTCCACGCGATGCAGTGCCCCCCAGCCCGCCGCCGCAGCCCTTGCCTGGCGCTCCGGCACGTCCGGCACGCGCCCCCGGGGGGGAGGATAAAGAGCAGCCCTGATTCGGTCCCGGCCCCCCTCGGCATGCGCCGGCATGTCGGCCGCAGCGGGAAGGGATCCCCGGGACAGCAGAGCGGCAGGCAGCAGGGATTCGTCGCGGAGGCATGCGGCGCGACGTGCCTGGAGGCGCATGCCGGCACTCATGACACAAGGCGGGGAAGCGAGCTCTCCAACTTCCGTGCGGCATTCTTTGATGATGGAGTTCTGCTGGGATGACTCTCCGGCCTCAGCTTTAGACGTACGGCTTTACTCAGGTTCCAATCGTAACGGTCCAATGTAAGGTAAGGCGAAGGGTAAGGCGGGGCGGGGAGGTTAGGGAGGGGTGGACACGGGGCAGAGGTCAAGTCCCGAGTATGACACCCTAAGCACTCTCCACACACCTGCCCCCGCGTCCAGACTTGCATTGAGGGAGGTTAGGGCGGGGAGGAAAGGGCGGGGGGCAGGGGCATGGGACAGGGTCCCCGGGTCCCTCCCTATAGCCGGGCGACGGGTCGATGTGGCGTGGTCCATATGGGCTGCGGCCGGGGGGCACGGACTGGGGTTCGCAGGGCAGGGAGGGAGAGACAGCGCGCGGCGCGAGCGCGGGACGAAAACGGCCTCCCCTTTCGCCCTCACCCCCGCCCTCTCCACCCCCACGTGGCCTACATTTGGAGAGCGCCGCCGATGCGCCGACTGCTGCGCCGCCGTGGCCCCCAGCATCCCGCCCCTCCCGGCACGGGGCCCCCCCGGGCCCGCCCCCCAGGCCCGTCGCTGGCCAGGGGGAGGTCCACTGCACCACCTGGACTCCACGACCTATATCCTACCCCCCCTCCCCTACCCCCTTTTCTCTCCAGACTGACCCACTTCCAGCCGACGCGCTGGTCTTGCGCGCGCGCACACACACACATCATCGACACGTGCAAAGCCAGACAAAGGGCGTCGCCAAACGGAACACCGAAAGCAGCACACACCTTTACCGGGACGGTATGGTTTCAAAAAATTACCAACACATAAAAAATGCACAGGGAACATCAAAGTCCAAAGTCTATACGCAATGACAAAAATAATCAGACGAGTTTTGAAAAGTCTGGAAGATTTACGAAATGAATTCGATAGTTCGAAAACCGAGTACCTCCTCCACAGTGCGCACACTACTCACCTCGGGCGGGCTCCCGGACGGACTCATGGCTGCCGGTGGTGGGGGTGGCGCTGGCGGGGCGGGCGGGCCTGGCAGGGCGTGCCAGGGCGCAGAAGAGCGCGGCGGGGTACGGGGGCGCGTCGAGGCGCGACCTGCAACAAACAAACACGACAGGTCACCAGACTGATCCGAAGGGACCTCCACAAGGCTCAAGGGGCGCTGCCCCACGAGTACGCGACAAGGACGGAGCTTAAACATAAGGTATAGGAGAGGGTTCTTCGGAATCAGTCGGCAGGTACGGCGACCGCTGAGATCATTTACAGGAGGCGATCCCCTCCCCCCTTGCCCCCCTACACCGGCTGAGCCAGCTCCGCCGCCGCCCAACTCGCTCGATACGCAAGCTGTCAACAGTCCAACGGCGCACTCCTGACCCCATTTCCACTCTCCAGACGCGGAGAGGCGGAGGCGGGGCCGGTGCTCCGGAGCCACCCCCAACCGGGAACCGGGCTGGGGCTGGACCGATCCGGCCTCAGAGGTAGGGACAAGGAGAGCGAGCGAGGGCAGGGGGGAGAAGGGAGATGGTGAGTGGGATCAGATGGAGAGAGAGGGAGGAGAGGAGATGAAGAGAGCGGGAGGAGAGGAGATGAAGAGAGCGGGAGGAGAGGAGAAGGAGAAAGAGGGGGAGGAAGGGAGAGAGAAAGGAAAAGAGGGAGCAAAGGGAGAGAGAGGGGGAGAAAGGGAAAAAGAGAGAGGGAGAAACAAGGCAGGGAGGGAACAGAGCAGAAGAGCGAGCAAACCAAGAGGAGTATATGTGGCATGGCCTGACGGGCTCGAGGCTCGAGTGCGTGCTCGACAAACGAGCACTGCGACGGGGGTGCCCGCCGAGTACCCCGCGGGACTTGTTGCTGAAACCACATGAAGAATGTGGACCCCAAATTGCAGCCGTGTGTATGTGTTGTGTACGTATACACACCAGTGGGAGCGCGCGCGCGAGTGCGAGGCGGGCGGCCGGGGCGCGGCCTGGGGAGCTTCACTGAGACAAGCGGTGAAGCGGGATTCCCGAGTTCCGTTAAAGAATATTTTGCTGATTTTGGATTCCGGATTTGATAATGTTAACATCTCCCAAAAAATAATTTGTAATTCTCTGAGTGGGTTGCATAGCCATATATTTAATTTGCTTTCAGCCCCGTTTCAGTCGACTTCAACATCAGACACGTTAGGATCTCATCGTAAGATATGGTCTCAAAAAGACGACAGTTTCTCTGAGTCAGTACCGGTCCGTTCCAGTTGAGGCCGGCACTAGACTGCGGTGCGGAGCTGTGCCCCTCCCGAGCGGCCCCACCCACATCCACCTCGAGCAGACCAGCAGGGTCCTAAGTGACAGCCCCCCCTCGAATAGCCGCTTTAACGAGCCGGCCGGACACACTAAGGACGCCCGGTATACGCAGCGTGGAACCCCCGCGGAAACCCCACCCCGTCGTTAACCCGTTATTGTTTTCGGGGGGATCGTAAGAACGGGGGGACAGGGGCGCTCGGAATGGAGATGAGGCGGGGGAGGGGGGGAGAGGAAGAGGGAGTTCTTAAGGTCAGGGTGAAGTCCCGGGGGAACCGCCCCCTCTCCCCCTCTGCCTCTTCCCCCGCTAGCCGACTCAAATGTCAGCCCTTTGCGGCAGTAACAATGTCTTGGAGCAAAAATGTCACAAACAACGACGACGACGGCATCAGCAAAACAAACGGAAATCCGCACCGCCGCCGCCAGGCGACCGCACACGTCACGGCCATCCGTAAAAAACATCCGCGAAGTTCCCCTTCCCCTTCTTTCCACTCCGCCCGGGGCAGCTCCCTGCCCTGTGCCTTACACCCCCACGGGCCGGGCTCACAAGCAGGGGACCATAGAGCGCCACGGAGCAACGCGGGAGTGGCCAGCGTGTCGAGTGGCACCGCGTAGGGAAACCGAAAAAAGAAAACGAGTCAACAAAAAAAGCTTATAGAAATATCCCTAATTACCGACTGTGGATTGGAACTCTCTGGGGTGATATGATATCTTTATTTAACGGAAGTACCGGGTGATTCAGAGAAGACGCAGGTGCGGGCGGGTTTGCCTATAGTCGACTCGAGGTGAGGAGGGGACCCGTGCGCCCGCCGAGTCGAGGATACGCAAACCCGCCCGCACCTGCGTCTTCTCTGAATCACCCGGTACCTTTGAAAGCAGGGTTGTTACAGAGTTGGGATTTTCAAATTCCCTGACTTTTCCATGACTTTTCCCTGACCAAACTGGAGGTTTTCCATGACTTTCATCCCCAAAAATATTTTTAAGTTATTGGTTAAGCTCTTGTTACGGCCCTGTGAATGCATTCATTTACAGGGTGGGCACTTTCCGGTTTTTCCCGGCCCCAAAAGTGACGTTGTAGCTCGAATTTTACCTTTACACAAGGCCCCTTGCCTGTATTGGCAACTAGTGGGAAGCACCGTATCTTTGAATCGCACGAGGGGTTTGCTGGCCACTTTCGGTTGACGCTACCGACTAGAAACATGAAAGGGCTAAGTGCGAGCGAAGCGAGCACGAAAATTTTCAAATGTTCACCTAGCTGAGCGGTTTAAAATGCGCCCTAGATTAACCAGATCCCCCTCGCTTAGGGAACGGTACCACCTCCACTGTGGCGACCAAACTTCGACACATACGAAAGAGATTCAAAAATTTTAGCCAGCAAATGTGAGTGCAGAGTTTGAGTGCTGTACATTTGTTTTGATATTCTCGATGAAAGTATGTGCACCTATGGTTATACGAAAGAAGAGAGGGAAATATTCGCGAGCGAAGCGAGCGAAAAAAAAAGGATTTTAAACAATAAATTGGACCATTGTAGAGGACCGCGGGAGCTTAGCACGCTACCAAATTTTGCAATTTTCCAACTTTTCATAATTTTCCATGACTCGGCGATTGATTTCCCTGACTTTTCCATGACTTCCATGACTCGATTTTTTTTCCCTGACTTTTCCATGACTTCCAGGTTTTCCATGACCTGTAACAACCCTGCTTTGAATGCGCTCCAATGTCTGCTGCCTACTCCCTTTGTCCATAAGACGCCAAGGGTACACCTGGAATATTTAACACAACACATACATACATAATCGGAATTACATTTCCAAGGACGTGGATTGTAAACATGGCAAGGATTTGTCGCAAATCATGCTAGACTAGTTTTTGCTCTCTCGCTCTCGCGCGCTCCTGTCGGCAGCAGAGAGGGTGAGAGGGTGCATGTCGTGCTCGGCCCGGCTCGAGCGGGGGGTCCGCGATAAAACTTTATCCCTCCCAGCGCGCCCCTTATTTAGAACCACGGCGGCGGCGCCGGTGCTCGAGGGAGAGCGAGAGGGAGAGAGAAAGGACGGGGGGAAGCTCCGAGAGTTGGAAAGCATTTCGCTAATCGCCTCCCCCCCCCTTCCACCGCACATCCCCTTTTCCCCCGGCACCGCGGCGCACTACATGGGGTGGATGAGATGCGCGCGAAAGTATTACAGGTGGGGGGGGGGTGCAATAGAGCAGAGAGGAGCAGGAGAGAGAGGGGAGAGGAAGGGAGGGAGGGGTGGCGCAGCGGCGCATGGCCTGCATCAGGGCTGTAGCGAAGAGAGGGGGAGGGAGGAGGAGGCGGCGAGGCGCCAAGGACGGCACGCGAGCCCCAGCGCAGCGCAGCCGCGAGCTGCAGCCCTTCCCTCTCAGGGGCAGGGTCGCGGCGGCGAGCGGGATGTGGTGGATCGAGGGGGAGGGGCTGGTCTGCTGCAAATATATGCGAGGTGTGGGTGGAGAACTGTATTGCGAGAGAGTGAGAGGAAAGAGAGAGATGTCATTCGAGTGAGATCGTCTATCTATGCCTTATAAACCCAAGCGCATCTCCTCCATCCACGTAAACAAACGTGGTTTCCTCTTCACTTGGTGGGTCTGCCTGGTCTGCCTGCAGGATCCTCATACCGGGATGCCCACTCTTAATTGGTAGGCGAACAAAGCAAAGAATAGGTTCCGTAACTTTTAAACAAAATTTGCACACCCGAAATAAATAAGATTACAAAATTCGCCCCCACCCCTCTTAAAAAAAATAATCGAAAAAACAAACATGAATTTATACATACGATACACAAAATTGTTTCTATCCATTTATGCATCAATGTGCATTTCAGCAGGAGGTACGAGACTGTTCCTCACGATTCAGTGTGCGGGTTGTTTTAGTGCACAATTCCATGGGTATCGCGATATCCTGCCTGTCTGCTTCCCCGAATGCTCCTTCCACTTCCCTCAGCGCGCCACAGGCACAACGCGCCACCGGCACACCACCGACACCAGCACCCCCCATCCCCCCCTTTTCAACCAACCCCCCCTGGCGAAGGTCGCCCCCTCCCCTCCTCCCCGTTTCCAGCAGGCGTGACGTCAATCTCAGTGATAAACCTTGTCGTACATAAATAACGACACGCTGATCAAGCGTGGGGCTGCACGCCACGCCGGCGCGCCCGGGGCGGTCAGCTGCACGAGCGGCTCTAGCCTCGGCTCGGGCCGGCACTGACACCCGCCCCGCCCCCAAACGATTTGCGACGGTAGTGGTGCCATAGCGCGGCGTCGAAAGCAGCCGAGTAAAGAAAACCGCGCGAGGCTTCTGGCCAAGGGGGCGGAGAGGGGCCGAGCACCGAACACCCCCAGCAGGCAAGGGGCAAGGGGGTCAAGGGGTGTACTCCGGGGTGTGCCGGGTGTAACTGTGAATACGCAGCAGTCGAGGGGGCAATAACTCCGGTAATCATGTGTACATCTGCCTGGGAATCATCTGGATAAAAATTAAACGAAATCAACAGAAATCGTTTAAACTAAGTGGGAAACTTATGAAACTGATACAAATTGGTCGAAATAAGCGTTTTCTACCACTAGAAAACCTAAGGAATGAATGAAAGTGGACGGGAATCACAGGGAATCACTGGGAATCAAGTATTTCGGGAATCATGTGTACACACCATGCCCCCTCGGCAGCAGTATTGCGGGATTGCATACCCAATATGGCCGCAGTGGCCATGGCCGCAAAAAGAAAGAGTAGGCAAACCCGCAACACTGCTGCGTATTCGCAGTTACACCCGGTACTCTGCAGTAGAAAGAAGAAAATTTGTAAGAGGATAGGAG